CCTCCTGCTGTTTCTGTTCCAGGAGCTGGTAGGGTCAGTGTGGTTTGGAAGCAGAGAGAAGGTGGCTTCTAAAGGCCTCCCCATCCTCACCCTGCCACCCCTCCACTCCCCATCCTAGGCAAAGAAAACACTGTTCTAATGGTACTAATGAAGTACTGGGCTGGTGGGTGGGATGGTTTAGGGGGACTGATGATTAGACACAGAGACAACAAGAAACCTCTCAGGTCTCTCACCTATCAGAGTGACTGACTGACCTCTGTGGCCTGGCCTCGTACTGCCCGCCCCTCCCTCTCTCTCTCCCTCTGGCCTGCGTGCTACTCCTTAGCCTGCCTGGCACTCTGTCTGTGAGGTTCATCCCCCAGCTCCCCAAATGGCTTGCTCTTCCCACCCGTCAGGCCTATGCCCAACTGACACCCTTCTCAGGGAAGCCTTCCTGGCCTCTCAATCTAACATCCTCCACACCTTCCTAACTGAACTCTCCTTCTTCTCCACAGCATTACTCTGACATATTACAAGTACTGTTTGGTTACTATTTATATCCCCACTACTCCTAGAAGGCCAAGGAGTCCTGGCAGCGTAGTGGATTACGAGCTGGGCTGCTAACCACCAGGTCAGTAGTTTGAATCTACCAGTCACTCCATGGGAGAAAGATAAGGCTTTCTGCTCCCATGAAGATTTTCAGCCTCAGAAACCCTTCACATGGTTGCTACTGAGTCAGAACCAACTCAGTGGCACACAACCACCACCACTAGAATGTCAGTTCTGTAACAGCACCAGTTTTTGCTTTATTTGTTCATTACTATATCCCACAGCACCATAAAAGATGCCTGGCACTGAGTACAAGGCTCAGTAAATATTTGTTGTGAATGAAAGAAAATGGGGAGGGGGAAGAAGTGGTTGGAGATCATGTTTCGCAAGCTCTGCCTCTGCAGGACCCCGGAAGGCACTGGTGCCAGAGGAGGACAGTAAGGCTCCTGCTGACTGTGGTCAGGACCAAGCACTTACTGTTAAGAAAGGTTCTGCTTGCCTATCCAGTTACAGGGTAAACACTCAGAAAAGGAAGAAATGGCAATTGAAAGTGAAAACAAAAGAGACAAATAAAAGGTACCCTTATCCACAAAAATGATGTACTCTTTCAGGAACAAAGAATGAAGCAATTTGTGTTTGAGATCTTTGCCATTGAAGTCACTAAAGAAATCAGAATTTAAAACACCAGTGTCAAACACAGTAAGGCCATCCTCAACCAGGCACCAAGGAAAAGCTGCCGGGATTTTTCCATCTCCTGCCTCCAGGACGGGAGCAGGTTAGCTACTCAGCCCTGTACTGTTCCCTCTCTGTTCAGAAGCTCTGGGCTGCTTCAGGATACAGTGACTAGGAAAGCAAGTCAGTCATCACCAGCAATAGAAGCTGCAGGTCAAATGTCACTGACTAATCAACCTGTCACTGGTCAATTACTCATCCCCAGGAAGAGGTACCACTGATCTAGTTTCCTATCAATAAAAGTCTATATGGGCACATCAGCTGCTGCTAACCACAGCCTGCCAAGATATCCAGCATCGCCCACAGTCATTGGTGGTTAAGAAATCTCTCTCCCCTTCCTCCTAATCATGTCACAGAAGAGGCAAATGCAGTTCCTGACAACATAATGTTAGATTCACAGAGACGTGTTTCTTTGAAGGCTTAGCCAGTTATACAGAGCTTCAATTGCATGGATTTCTTACTGCAAAAACAATAGCTAGTCTTAAGGAAGTTTGGATGTGTCACACTGTGCTCAGATACACATTTCTGTCTTTAGTTGTGTTCATGCTCATCATCCCCTCTCTGATTCAGGAAAAGACAAATTATATGGGGGAACCATTTTCATTCCACTTTTCAAGACCAAATGGGCCATGCTCTTTCCTACCTGTAGCCCCAGGGACACCTTTTCCTGGAGTCAGAGTCAACATCTCAGATTCTTTGGATAGACCTAAAGACCAAAGTGGCCCTGCCACACTAAGAGCCTGTTTATCTCTCCCTGAGTTGTCACCTTGGCAATGACCTCGTGAGATCCCTGCTGGATCTAAAATTCAAGATCATCTACTGTATCTGCTATAGTTCCCCCTTTTATTATGATACACAACCTCATTTGTCATGGGAAACTTATTCTGCATTGTCAGAGATTTATATATCGGAGAAGGCTGTGGGGAGGCAGTAAGTACACAACTGTAGTACATGTAACCAATGCTCTGATAGGAATTAAATACCAACTGGTAATGAATCACTGGAAAGGGTTGTCTACATCAGTCCGGGAGATAATGAATGGTTAATGAGAGATTCCCAAAGGAGTTAAATATTGAAGGGGAAATGAGAACAGGAGAAAATGGGGTTAACGAGAGACATAAGCAATGAAAACAGCATATTCCAAAATTTGAAGACATGGAAGCGAGAGGGTATGGCATATGTGCACAGCTGTAAGGAGCTGGCTATGTTGGGATGAAGCATATATATGGGTAGGCGGCCTGGGGAAAATGCAGAGAGCAGAGATGCAGGAGACAAGACTGCATAGACTTGTCAGGTCGTTCCTATGTGCCCCAGTCTGAACTCTCTCCCGAAGGCCAACAGCAGTCATAGCAAGGGCACTAACAGTGTAGGTGAGGTTGCACGTGGAGAACGAAGGGCCAGAGTAATGTCTACAAGGACAGTTGGAAAAGAGTAAACCACAAAGGTGCAACTATGATAATGACACTGGGGATGGATCTGTGAGTCATTTAGCAGGTGTGACGCTGTGGGTTAATGTGCTGAACTGCAAAGTGGGTGTGAACCACAGGGTCGGTGGTTCAAGCACATCAGCTCAGCTGCTCCTCAGAAACCCTATGCAGGGTCACTATTGGTTGGAACCAACTTTATGGCACTTAACAACAATAACAACCAAAAACTCCCAAAATTTATGGTTGGCTGGTTGAGGAGGGAAGTTTAAGAAAAGGAAGGAATTCTGAGAAATTCCCATATTTTTGGCTCATGCTGAATTAGATAGGAAATCATGAAGTGAGGTAACCTGGGCAAGGGAAGAGGACTAGAATAGAATTCCATTTCAGACATCTTGCTTTGAGATGCCCATGGACCAGTGCTGGGTAATAATGGGGAGGGGTTGTGGAGTGACAAGTAAGCAGGGGGAATACAGGGAGTATTAAGAGAGAGTAGGCAGAGCTACTGAGCTGCCAGTTTGCTTCCATCTTCATTGGCAAGAAGACTAGTTTTCAAATTAGAAATGGCAGAACAAACATAATAAAGAGAAAATTGAAGCCCCAAATAGGTGAGAAAGCAAGAGTATCTCGTCAATTTAAATGATTTCAAGTCTCCTGGCTCAGATGAGTTACACCCCAAGCCTGCTGAAAGAAATTGGAGATGTAATCTCGGAGACACGATTGGTAATCTTCAAGAAACTGTGGAAACTATAATGCGTGTGGACAAGAGAAGGACAACTGTTTTCCAGGTTTCTAAAGCAAAGAGGGATACATTTAATAAGAGACATACAGATAAATTGGACATACCTGAGAATTCTAGAATGGTTTATTAAAGAGATGGCTTATGAGTACTTTAGTTAAGGCTTGTAACTGAATAAAAGGAAGGGAGATTGTCGTTTGCTATTTGACAGAAGTTTATGTGCATGGGTAGGTTACTCAGAGTGATGTGGCTTGTCTCAACCCTTTCCTAAACACAAAGAGGTCTGCAGTATGAATTCCTGGTTCTCGGTCTGATCTGTAATCTGTGGGCTGAGGTACTCAGCCTGTGAGGTGCCCCTTTGTAAAATGGGGATGACAATTAAAACAAAGAAATTCGCAGTTGGAACTCCATAAGAAATTTAGCATCAACTCTTCAGGGTGCCCCAGGAAACCAGGAAGCAGCATTAATCTCTGTGGTTATTAAGCCTAAACAGCAACAAACCTTTCTATTAGAATTCTACCACCTTGGGGGGTTTTTGATGGTTTTTTCCTGTTATACAATGTTGTTTTTAAGCTCTGACAAAGTCAGTTCCAAATCAGAGTGATTTTATATAGGGTTTCATGGGCTGTATATTTTTCTGGAAGCAGAAAGCCTCAGTTCTCTCTCTGTGGAGTGGATGGTGGGCTCAAATCACTTGTTGTTTGCAGTCCAGTGCTTATCATACAGAGCTCCTGTACTCCCTTCTTTATACATACTGATTGTTGAAAAAACAACAGGAAGTATGAGCATGATGAAATACTGGGTTTAAAGTGCCCTCCTTGAAACAACCCAGACCAAATCAAGGAAAAACTTAGCCACACTTACTGTTCCCACAAAGATTGGGAACCCTATACGGGGTCACCATGAGTTGGAATTGACTTGAGGGCACTTAACAACAAGTTGACTAAATAACTAAGTTAAACCTCATTGAAATTCCATTTTGCAGGTCAAAATAGGAAGAATATTATAGTTCATTATAATAAATCCCTAATGTAGAAAAATATATGAGGAATTATTGTAATAACTGAGTATGATCAGAATATGAAGATTTTTTAAAAATAAATGCTTACATTTGTCAATGGTATGAACATAAAAAAAAAAACCTTAGCCACAAAGATCACTAAGACCCTTTAGGACCATGTCTCATATTTGTTAGATCTGTTTGGTTCATACATAAAGTCATCTGTTAATGTTTAAAAATTATTTCTTACTCTTATAACTTCAGTTATATAACGTCTCTTGACCTTTTCCTATAAGCCTAACTAGTCCAAACTGAGCTTTGAGGAGGTAAGAGGGAAGTCGCATCTAGGAAGAGGCTGTTCATCCAGTCCCTCCACACAAGTCCATTTGAACATTCACCAGAAGATCCAAGGAAGCACCCTCTAATTCTCTGCCTCTCTCTTTTTGTCTCTAATGGAATTTGGAGCAAAGAATGGTTTCTTCACTGAAGTTACTGGGATCATTAGTTAGCCAAAATTTACACATGCATCTTCCATTCTGAATCATGAATAAATAATAAATAAAAAACATCTTTGTACCGTATTGACCCAATCATGTACGGCTGTGCCAGCTGAACCATGATTGCACCACTCCCCAGCTGATGACACGTGTAGCCTGAATCCCAGTCATAATTTTTGGTATCTCCATTCAGCAGGGCATTTCTGCTCCGACTGACACCTTCAATCACACTGGCACAATCAGCAATTGTTGCAACATTCTCCATGGGCACTGTGAATTCAAACACAAGATTTGACATTAAGAGGAGAAGCCAAATGTATCCTGATAGTGTGCTCAAAACAAGAATAATTACAGTTTAATGTCAATGATAAAGGGGAAATGAAAACATCTTGAGATATAAACACATATTTGATGCCAAACACTTTTTAAAAAATCTTTCTCAACTTAAGGTTGGAGCAAATCAAATCACATATAACAATTAACCCTGAAGTGTTTTATTATAAATAAATAAGATACCCCAAAAATGTAAACTGGTGAATTACACTGTGGGCTATAACTACAATGAGAAACTACACAAAAATTGAGAAGAATGAACTACAACTGTATTAAAACGGACGAATCTTGAAGCACAGAAGAACACAAACAGTACAAGTTTATTTATACAAAGTTTTTTAAAAAGGCAAAACTAAAAATGTACTTTGTTTTGAGATACACACATATATGTAAAACTAGAAAAGGAAATCTAGGCAATTGTTACACAAAATAGAGGATAATTATGTTTGGGGGAGTAAAGAGGAAATCTGAAAGAGGCCCTGGGGGGCTTCAAAAGCACTGGTCTAGTTCTGCTTCTTAAGCTAGTGATGGGTACAAAGACATTTATTTCACTAATAGTCTTTAAACCATATATTCATTATATTTACTCTTCTGAAAATTTGTTTAAAGAAACATAATGTATATAAATTGAGTCGTTTCAAATTCATAAAACAAGGAAGTGACTTAGTACTTGATACCAATCCCTTTTTGGAATATACAGTTGTCCTCAGCCATGATTCACTGTCTATTTTTGTTTACTATATATGCATTCCAACACATATGCCTTTCCCTTTGTTCAAAAACTGCTAGATTTTTAAATACCAGCTCTGTTTTGATTCTGTATATCTTTACACTGTAATTTCATATCAACCTGATCAGTTATAAAAGTCAAGAACTCCCAGAAAATGATGACTATTCAAAAATGATGGAGATTCTCTAAACACTGAGAACAGTCCCCCAGGACTGTTTTTTCTGTTTATTTATTAGCACTGGGGTTTTCTTCTGACATTAAGTTATTTAACCAAATCTAAAATTAACCCTAGCTATTTACATTCAAAATTTGTAACCTATTTTACATAATTTAAAAATGGATTGATAAAAAACAATTTCTCACTAGATACATAAACCTGCGATATTTTTCAGTATAACATTATCCTCTCTAAATAGAAATGGAAAGGGTGAACAGTACTACCATTCCTACTTCTAACCTTATAATGAAAGTCAGTAAAAACAGAAGACCTGATGTCGAATAAATAATCCTACATGAATCTTCTAAACAATGTATTTATTTTCAAAAGCTGGGCATGCCTGGACGCGAGCTCTCAGCATCTCACATATTACATTAACGTATCTTCATAGATAAAGAAGGACAGAGGGAGGGAGTTGGGGGGAAAGCAGGAAAGGAGGGAAGAAGAGAAGAAAGGAAAGAAAGATGAACTTTTGGTCATGAATCCCTTGATTCCAAATAAGCATGAGAGTGACGCAGCCAGCTAGTCTGAAGAGCAGGGATATGTGAGTGAACTCCCAAACTAACAGCTAGTACACGTTTTACCTAGGTTGAATGGCTAGTTGACCAAAACTTAACCTTAGGAAGATAAAGATGTTTGATATTGTGAACAAGTGCAAATTCCTACAATTTGACGAATTAGACTTTTGCTTAGGAATGCAGGGACTCAAAATTCCAACTGGAATGGAAGGATTCTTCATATCAAGGAACAACCTTGTTTCCTCAGTGTACTGGTTGACAGGGATGAGAAATTTAGACACTGGATATCAAAAAATAGGGGGCTATAAGGGCACAAAGTCGTTGGCTTAAAAGCTTTCATGAGTGTGCTTAGTTTCAGAATGAGGGGGGTAAGGTAGAATCCCCACTGAATCGTTTCTCTCTTTTCCAGGTGGATCTTGTGAAAGGGGGTGAGAGATAGCAGTGATAGGATTTTATGACTTAATTATGAGCAACTGCTAGCAGGACTAATTGCAATTGTTACACCTGTAATTGTAGAAAATGTGTAACTAAAAGGGGGGAGAAGTTAACCTTCCATTTCAGGAACAGGAATTCCAGGACCATCAAGAAGGAAGAGCATGAGAGCCTATCTAGAGAAGTGGCGACAGCAGAGACTGCGGCAGAGGCGGTGGCATGGAGAGACAGAGCAGCTGTGGCTCAAGGTAAATGGACTGAGTAAGGCTGTGTGTCTGTCGGTAGGAGGCTGGCTGGCAGCATGTACCCTTTGGGCATTTAAATGTGTGTGTGTGTGTGTATATATATATATATATATATATATAAACAGGGAATAACCAGGGAGGAAGAAGGATTAAACATTGTTGCAGGGAAGGAATTGTAATCACTGAGATGAAACAGTGTATTATTTACTGAATGTAAAGGTCTGGAAAGCTTCACACAAATCACAATAAAACGTTAAAAAACCCCACAAAAAAATAGCAATCCAAAACAATGATAAAACAGTCTATAAGGATAATTTCCTACCAGAGAAGAGGCCCAGAGAAAAGCATTTTGCAACTTTGGAAAGAGGCAAACATGAAGGCCGTATTTACAGAGTAAGTCATACTACTTCATTGTCCTGGAAAAAAGGGAAGTAGTTGAGGATTTTAAAGGGAAACTGTAAGTAAGGAACTGGCACACGATACATGGTAAACTGTGCTGAAACATTAAAAAGTAACTATAGATATTACAGGCAGGCTGTGCTGAAGTAAAAGGCAGCCCTTGATGCTCTCAGCGGCTTAACATTGTTGCTACGTGCCATCAAGTTGGTTCCAACTCACATGTACAACACGATGAAACACTGCCTGGTCCTGCGACCTCCTCACAATTGTTGTTACGTTTGAGTCCACTGTTGCTGTCACTGTGCCAATCCATCTCATGGGGTGTCTTCCTATTTTTCATTAACCTTCCACTTTACCAAGCGTGATGTCCTTCTCCAGAGAGTGGACCCTCCTGATAACATGCCCAAAGTATGAGAGAGAAAGTTTCACCATTCTGGATTCAAATGCACCTTCTTCCACATTTGTTTCTTCTTCTGGTAATCCATGATACTTTAAATATTCTTGTCCAATAACATGATTCAATTCTTCTGTGGTCTTCCTAGGGGTCCTGGTGTGGCACTGTGGGTAAATGCATTGGACTGCAAAGTCACTTTGAACTAACTGCAAGGTCTGCGGTTGAAGCTCAACAGATGCTCCTCAGAAACCTTATACGGGGTTGCTATGGGTTGAAACCGACTCCACAACACTCAACAACCATGGTTTTCCTATTTCACTGTTCCAGTTTCACATGCATGTAAGGTGAATGAAAATATCATGGCTTGGGTTAGGTGCACCTTAGTCTTAAAACTGATCTCTTTGCTCTTGAACACTTTAAAGAAGTTTTTGCAGGACATTTGCTTAAAGCAATATGCTATTTGATTTCTTGACTGCTGCTTCCACGATTGTTGATTGTGGATCCAAGCAAAATGAAGTCTTTGACAACATCAATCTTTTTCCATTTATGATGATGCTTATTTATTGGTCCAGTGGTGAGGATTTTTGTTTTCTTTACATTGAGGTGCAATCTGTACTGAGGGCCATGGTGTTCAGTCTTCATCTATAAGTACTTTAAGTCCTCTTGCTTCCAGCAAGCAAGGTTGTATCATCTCCATATTGCAGCTTGTTAGTCTTCCTCCAATTCTGATGCCACATTATTCTTCATACAATCCAGTTTCTGGAACTCTTTGCTCAGCATACAGATTGAATAAGGATGGTGAAAGGATACAACGCTGGTACACACCTTTCCTGATTTAAAACGTTCAGTATCCCCTTTTTCTGTTCTAACAACTGCTTGTTAGTCTATGTACAGGTTTCTCATGAGCACAAGGAAGTATTCTTGGATACCTATTCTTCTCAATGCTATCCCTAGTTTGTCACAATCCACACAGTAGAAAGCCTTTGTACAGTCAATAAAGCACAAGTAAACATCTTTCCGGTATTCTCTGCTTTCAGCCTAGATCCATCTGACATCAGCAATGAATTCCCTAGTTCCACGTCCTTTTCTGAAGGTTACTTGAATTTTTAGCAGTTACCTGTCGATATACTGTTGCAACCATTTTTAAATGATCTTAAGCAAAACTTTATTTGCATGCGATATTAATGATATTGCTTGATGGTTTCTGCATTCCACTGGGTCACTTCTGTTTAGAATGGGCACAAATATGTATCTTTTCCAATCAGTTGTTCAGGAAACTGTCTTCCAAATTTCCTGGCATAGATGAGTCACCGCTTCCAGTGCTCTATCAGTTTGTTGAAAGACAGAAATTTGTATTCTGTCAGTTCCTGGAGCCTTGTTTTCTTCAATGCCTTCAGTACCATTGGTTCTTGATCATATGCAAAGGACTCGAATAGACATTTCTCCAAAGAACATATTCAAATGGCCAATAAGCACAAGACAAGATACTCAATAACATTCCACACCCTGCCCCCCTACAAAAAAAATTTCCATGGAGTCAATTCCGACTCCTGGTGACCCGGTAGGACAGAGTAGAACTGCCCCATAAGGTGTCCACAGTTATAAATCGCTAAGGAAGCAGACTGCCACATCTTTCTCCCGCAGAATAGCTGGTGGGTTTGAACCAGCAAGTTTTCAGTTAACAGCCCAGAGCTGAACTACGTGCCATCATGGCTCCTTTCAACATCATTAGTCACTAGGGAAGATGGAAGACACAAAGAGCCACCACTTCACACACACTCACTCACCACAGTGTATTTGTAAACCCAGTATCAACACTTCCAGTGTTTCCCCAGCCATTCACAGATATGCAGAGTGGCAAAACGTTTGAGTTGTCCAATACACCCATTCCCAGCTGAGGTCGAATAAGGTAATGCTTTCTCTTCTTGTTTCAGCTCTGACACTGTAAACAAGTATCTTTTTCATGAACACTTTAATACCACAGTTTTCACATTTTTTTATT